GCGACTTATATTTGAAAGTTGCACTCTGTAAACCCGTCTTAAACACCGGGTTTGAAATCCGTCCAGCCTCTTCCGCTCTGATTTGTTCAGGCAAGCGGCGAAAAGGCAATAGCGTAATTTTGAAACGATGCATGCGTTAAAGATCTTCACTTTTCGTTCCCGAGATAATGTTGCGTGAGACCAGATTGCACGCAACACATTGAAATCCTGCTCTGCCGCGCCTAATCTCCGATTAAACTCAGAGCCACTACGGCCGCCTGACGAGATGTGGGCCCCGAGATACAGCAAGGCCTCCTTTTCTTTCACGGTGTCTCCAACGCTGTTCACTACGTGTGCGCCTGAGCGGACTCTCATCATGTCAACTTTGTTCCAGTTCAAGCTCAGGCCGCACTACTTCCCGCACTCGTCCACGCAGGACATGGGCCCCTGCGCGACGACAGGGTTCGCGCCCATCAAGAGCGCGTCATCGGCGCACACCAAGTCTCGCACAAAGTGCGCGTCGGGAATGTCCGGCAGTCGCCTGCGTAGCCGAGCGTGCGCATCCTCCAGCAGCGTCGTCATGGTGATGGTGAACAGGAATGGAGACAGCGGGCACCCCTGGCAGATACCGAACCTTTGCCGCCGCTCTCTGGATGATGAGCCGAAGTCAGACACGACAAATTTTCTGTCCTCGTATACCGCCTTCACCATGTCTACGAGCTTGGCAGGGCACCCGAACCGCCGAAGCGACGTCGCCATTGCTGCGGGTGACGCGGAATCGAGAGCCTTCACCCAATCAAGCGCAAGTAGGTGGACGGCCCCCCACCTTCGTGGCCCAGGCATCCTCCAGCACCCTCCTGGCCACGAAGATCGCGTCCGAAGTATCGCGCTTGGACCAGAAGCCAAATTGGGTGGGCCAAATCTTGTCCTCTGCACCCGCGTCCTTCAGCCTTTGCAACATGATCATCGCGAAGACCGCGTGCCCTATCGGCAGCAAGCTGATCCGCCGGTAATTGTCGCAAACTGCAGGGTCGCCCTTTTTATGGATCATGCGAACCCGCGAATTGTGCCACGCGTCTGGCACCGCTGCCTGTGACCAGACCACGTTACAGAAACGTAACCCATGCAAGGGCTGGCTGTCCGTCTTCAGCAGACGCTTTCCAGGAATTCCGGTGGCAAGCCGTCCAAGCCGCCCGATCGTTTGTTTTTGTTTGTCTGCGGGCGGCTCGCTGAACCTCCTCGTCAGTGATGATGTACAGGTTGAACGGCAAACCAGCTTGGTTCGCAGGGTCTTCTGGCAGCACTGTCGTCGGTCGCACGGCCCACTGCGCTGTCTCTAAGTGCTGCGCAAGTGTACCTGCCCTGCGGTCGCTGTCCACCAGATCTCCCTCGTTCGTGCGAAGTCTTCCCCGGGCATGCTGGCAGCCCTTGCGCAGTCTGTGGATATGTGTCCAATCTCCTTCTCTGGTTACATCCTCGAACCAATTCGCATTGTCTCTGGCCACGGAAGCTCGGATTCGTTTCGGCATGTCACGCTCTCGCGGGGCATCCGCCCCGCCGGACCCGATGCCGCAACCGCGCGAGTTCCAACGCGCTGCTGCTGATCCATGGTTTGCGGGGGCGAATCGGCTCCTGCGGCAAGACAGTCGTCGCCGCATGTACGAAGCCATCGACCATTCGGCACCGCGCCCGTTTCACGTCAGAGTCGTTCGGGGAGGCCTCTTCGCAGCTGCCCCAAACCTCGCCCAGACATCTTGCAAAGATCTGCCTGGTATCATTGTCGGCCAGGGCGCCGTGGTCACGGCGGCGCGCCAGTTCTTCCACGCAGCGTTCGTCGACCTCCATGCGCGCGGAAGCTTGCAGCAAGAAGTCATGCGATGATAGTGGCGCATCTGGGTAACAAGTCGCACTTCTGACGTTGCGCAGCCAAGGCTGCCCACGACGAAAGACATCGATCTGCGAGTGAGTCTGGCCGCTGACCAGGGCGCCTGCTTTCGTGCCAACGTTGCAGCAGGCTGCCAAACCGTCAATCGAGGTCTCGAACAAATGCTGGCCAGGCACATGTTGAGATGTGTGAGCGCCTCCACAAAGCAAATGTCAATTGGCATCGCCCTTGCGGCTTGCGCCCCGTGCCCGGGCCCAGCAGGGCGTGCTCGCCCACCGCGGCGCGTTCGCCATCCACGCGGCAGTGAAGCTTCGCATTGAAATCGCCCAAATAGCAATTTGGGTCCGCGCGCCGATTTGGACACGACAAATTCAGCCAGGTCACGAAAGACAGTATGTCCTTGATCCGAATGCTTGCCACTATGAGGAGCATATGCCGAGAATGCAAAAGCCTTGCCTCCAGGGGCGCGTACTTTCAACGGCGCCAGTCTTGAATCGGCCAGGCAGAATCCCACTACCGATCTCCGGAACCAAAGAGCCACTAGGAACCCCGCTCCGGCTCTCTGGCTATCTCCGTCGATCCTCCCCGACATGATGACCAAGAAGCCTGATTATGTCGCGAACGCGTTGGACTTCATTTGCCAAGCCTCTTGCGCGCGCAGCGCCCCGATCTCGTCATTGATCACGATTCTCTCTAATTCGATATGTTTCGAATCTGCGCGCCCTTCAATGTTCCAAGATGCAGTCGTGAATTCTAAAGTTGAAGGGGAGAAACGCCCGCCCCTGCACGCGGCGAGTGGCAGTTTGGCTTGGCCAGGCTGCTCCGCCCCAGCTGCGCGGGCGCCGCCCACTTCCCTGATCGAGGCAATTCCTCTGGGCATCGTCTCTGGGCGGGCTGGCGGGGCTTCGCGAAGCGTCAACAAGATTCGACGCCCTCGCCCTGAATTCCCGCTGGCCGCTTGGGAAAAAAGAACGGAAGGCCCCAATTGAAGTCCACGAGTTGTGAGAACATCGCATCTGGCCCCCCCTCCACCGCCATAGCCTGGAAGGCGTCGAAAAGGACAGACATAGCAGGATCCTCGACGCGACGCTGCGCCACGAACGGTGCCCCATCAGGCCCTGGGGATCTCGACATGCGGAAGGCTTCCCCGACGCGGCTCCGGCGAGGCTGGAAGAACTCGGCGGGGAACGGCGCGGCGTCGGCCAAAGGCTTCGAGCCCGCGTCCTCCTCGAGCCGCTGGCGGGGAGAGCTTCGTCGACACCCCGCGCGCGAAACACCTCGCGCCAATGGCCTCGCGGCGAGTTGCCGCGCCGTCGACGTCCGAACGAACTTCTCCCGCGGCGTTCAAAACGGCGGCAACCGCGCGCGAGCGGCCTGGAACCAATCGGAACAAGAGTCGGGCCCCCCTCTGGCGGCGCCTCTGGGCGAGCACTGGATCACCACCCCGATAGTCTTCGCGCGCCCGTCCGAGTTCGCCCAGAGCGTGGCCCCGTGCAAGCTGCTTCGCATGATCCCGAAATCTGTTGAACTTGACCGAAAAGTTGCCGGTAATATCATAGGGGTTGGCCACCAGATCAGCCAACGAAGAAGGCGCGCAGGCGCCTCGCCATGAAGACCCCGCTCCGAGGCCCTCAAGAACTCCATCGCCGCGCATAGGCGGTCCTCGAGCGACTCCGCGAGCACAGGCCTTGCCAGATCGAGGCCAAGAGAACGCGAGACAGAGATCATCGCATCCTTCAGAAGCTCACTGAGGAGACATCGGGGATCTCCTTCAACATATCAAACTCAGAACAGCTCGTCGAAGCCAATCCGCACGCCGAGCGGCGCGCTCCGATGGGGGTGCTCCTCTGGCGCAAGGCGGCGCGGGGCCCAGCGCGCGAAGAGGACAGCGCGGTGGGCCGAGAGACCCTGGCGCCATTCTAGTGCTGCGGCCCGCATGTGCCTGTCCAGATGATTGGGGACGTGTTCGCTGCAATGAATGCGGTCAAGACGGAATCGAGCTTTGGCCGAGGCGCGCGTGAACTCCGGCTGGCACAGCTCGTGGAGGTGATGCGGGCGACCGAGCTCTGATTTGAAGTGCTGCTCTTACCAGCGTTCCTGTGTCCAGTCGCCTCAGCCCTGCCGGCTGACCTGCGGTCGCCTCATCAAGTGGCGCAATCAAAATCGCCACCTCGCGCTGTCAACGTGGAGCTGCGCGGCGCCATGGCGCGCCCGATGCGCCGACGAAAATGTTTGCGCGGCGCCGGGATGGTGGCCCACAAGGCCACGGCCCGCGGGTAGATGCCGCGCACCTCCGCGCCTGTCGGAAAATACGACACTATCAAACCCAGAGCGCCTGCTGGGCCCCGAGGCCTGAATGCAGCGGCGCGGCCGGGCCAGATAACATCCCAGACTGGAGAGGTATCGAACTGCTCGAATAAAGACTGCTTGACAATGATGCCCAGCCCGGCGCGGCCAGCAGAGCAGCCGGCAAACCGTCGAGCAATGCATCCAGGTGGCGGGCGCCAAGCGCGATTGCCACCGTTGGTGCCCTGCTACTTTGCGAGCCACGCGACATCAGCACGCCCCATGAGAGAAGCCAGATATCGCGCCTGCGCAGCTGCGAACAAAGCCAGCGCATTCCACGTAGCAACGGCGAAGTCGCCGCGAAATTGACCCAGCCACCGATCCGGAGAAGCCGACGGCGACGTCGAACTTGAGAGGGCTGGGGTAGCAAGAGGCATGGCGGGAAGAGCTCCGACAGCGCGACGGAGGCGTTGACGGCGATACACGTCCAGCGGCACACCCTGAGCGTGCAGAGCGTTCAGGTCCTTCGGAAGGACCGATAACTCGTCGAAAAAGACAGGTGGAAGTGCAGGGAGGAGACGGTCTTCAGGAAAAACAGGGCGAGGGAGAAGATGACCTTCAGGAACATCACGAGGAGAAATAGAACCCGAGTGTTGGATGTCGAGGCGGTCCGAGCAACACTGCCTCGCAGCTGCGGGGCGGAACTGAAAAACGACCTCAATCAACCAACCCTCGACGCCCATTTCGAATTCCTATTCCTGGTCCCAACCAGGGAAATGGCGAAGTCACCTCGCAGGGGCGGGGGCCGCCGAACCCCGTCCCTGCCCCGCGTTTACCGACATCCGCGCGCCATCGTACAGGTCACTGCTGATCTCGATGGCGATGCAGTCTTGCCCTACCTGGATGGCCTGGCCGTGGAGGGCGGCATAGACGCGGCGAACCTCCTCGGAGTCCCGCAAGAGTAGGCACAAACGACCTGGGGGAGCAGATGGATCTTGAGACGCCAAGTGGAGGTATGTGCCAGCCTGGAATTTGTTCGAGGACGTGACTTCCTCGAGCTGGATCCCGGTTTTCGTACTGAGGTGCTGGATCAACAACTTGAGGAACCTCCCCGTCCTCCTTCCCGATTTCCCCTTTTACCATGATGTCAGTGAGGTGATCGAGGGAGGAGGGTCCCCGAGGCTGCGCGCCCTTGCGGCGACGAGAGGCTGCGAGGGCAGATGCCATGGGGAAGCAAAACGTCGTCCCCCACAACGCGAGGGATTCCACTTCAAGCGAGTGGCACTGTGGCGGCGGAGCTGGGGTCGGTAGCGAGCACCGTGAGTTCAGCTCGTTCCACGAATGCGCGTCAACCTCCGTATAGACCAGGAGCTTGCAGGGGGCAAAGAAGAGCGCCTGTGTGCAGAGCGGCCAGAAATTATGGAAGCACTCCGGAGAATTGACCTCCAAGATGGCCGCGATTCGAGCACGGATCACTTCGGGGGGGACGTGCTCTTGCCGCCACCATGCTTGCATAATTTCTAGCAGCGCTGACCTATTATCAACGCTCATGTCCTTGAAGACTTCCATGGGGCATTCTTCGGAACCAAGCAAGTGCCTTGCAACGTTTGGACTTCCTCAGGGCCGCTTTAACTTCTGCTAGCTCCAGGCCCCCCTTCGTTGAATCGTCGGCGGGCGTGAACGACGTCGGCGCGAAGCGGAGAGGGCACGGCCTGCGGGGAGCGCGAAGGGGGGGGGGGCGCGGAAGGGGGGGCAGGGGAAGGGAGAGGACGGAGGAGAGGGAGGGGCGGAAGTGCGCACCAGGGGGAACCCAGCGAATGCAAAGGTTCTGGATGCTGGAGGCGTCCAGCGAATGCAAGGGCACCAGGGGAACCCAGCGAGTGCAAGGGTACTGAAGCCGCCCAGCAAATGCAAGGGCGCACACACCGGGGGAACCCAACGAATGCAAGGGCTTTGGATGCTGGAGCCGCTCAGCGAATGCAGGGATGCACCAGCGAAACCCAGCGAATGCAAGGGTGTGGGATACTGGAGCCGCCCAACGAATGCAAGGGCACATTAGAAAACCCCAGCGAATGGAGGCCGGTAGTGGCGACGAGGGGTGCCGGCATCACACAGTGGCGACGCGGGGCGCCGGCGGCAGCACACAGAGTGGCGACGAGGGGCACCAGCAGCAGCACACAGAGTGGCAACAAGCTCATTTTGCCAGGGACGGCGGGGGAGGGTCCAGGAGGCCCCAAGAGGCCCCCGAGAGGCCCCCCACGAGGCCCCAGGAGGCTTCCCCAAGAGGCCCCTAATACGCTACAAGAGGCCCAGGGGACCGCCACGAGGCGCCCAGAAGGCCCCAAGAGTACCCCAAGAAGTTCCGAAGAAATATCCGAAGAGACTCCGAGAGGCATCCAAGACGCCTCTGGCCTTTCTGCTCGCCCTCCTCCTCCTCTTCGTCGTCCTCCTCCTCCTCGTCCTCCTCATCATCCGCCAATTCCTCCTCCTCTCTTGTCCCTCCGATCCTCCTGTATCCTCCACCTCTTCGGGTATGACGGCTTCCCGAGCCCTTTCTTACACCGCATGCTCTTCCACATCCCTGATCAGGGCAGCCTTCATGGGCATCGTTTCTGGATGGGCTGGTGGGGGTGCGTGAAGCGTCTAGAATCCCACTAGCCCTCTGGGCGTAGGTAGTTTAACGAGTTGTTGTTGCGTCCTTTCCTTATTCCAAAAACCCTGTTCCCTTCGGGGAGGGGTACCCTCCCCCCCTCCGTTTTTGTTCGGGGGGGAGGGGGAGGGCGATGTGTCAGAAGGTTTTTGTTTACCCAAGATGGCTACAAGTTGGCCTCCGATGCTCCAAGATGGCCTCCAAGATGGCTCAATATTGCTGATGCTCCCATGAGGGCCACAAGAAAGCTCAGAATGCTCTCGGATCCCTCCAAGGACCCCCACTAAGAGGCCCAAATCCTTCAAACACCTAAGGGATATCCATGTTACTTGCCTTTTCGCCTTTTCGCTTCTGTTTGGTTTTTGAGGCCTCAAGATGGCCCCAAAGATGGCCCAAGAAAGCCGTCAGAGGGACCCACCAGGGCCCCAAGACGGCCCCAAGGGAGCCCAAGAGCGCCCCAATAGGGCTCCAAGAGGCGAGTATTCCAGCCTCCAGGAGGGGAGGGCTGAGTAAAAGCATTTCCCATTTTTGAGCCATGGGACCCAAGATCCCCCACAAAGAGCTCCAAGACACCCCCAAAGAGCCCAAGATGGGTCCAATACCCGCTAAACGAGCCCCACCCCAAGGCGGCCTAAATATTGCTCCAAAAGTCCTCGAAGAACCTCTCACACCAACAAGTCTGTAAATGCAGCCTCCCTATCGTCTTTGTCCTCCTCTAGTCCTTTCCTGCTTGCCCGACTCCTCCCTCCGAATTTTCCTTCCGAGGGCCCAGCAGACCCTAGTGAAGCCGCCGTGACTTGGGAACATGTGTTAAATCATGCAGCACACATGCTCCCGCCGTTTCTGCGCCCCCGCAAACTTCCAAGGCGGCTGTTCCACTGATGCTTCTACACTTCCATGATCAAGGCAACTCGCTTGGCGATCGTCACTAGATGGGCTGGTGGGGATGCGCGAGGCGTCAAGAGTTTCAATCACCGTTGTGGATGAAAAGGCGGCAACCTCCATTGAGAACGACGGCGGTCAGTGTGCAAGGGGCGAGCTAATTGAGAACATCGCTGGGCGGGGGAGAGCATTTGCCATGTGGGAAAAACGCGTCGACCGCAGTGGGGACGGCGTACGTGCATGCAGCGCAGCGGCCCAGGCGTGTAACCAGTAGCAGCTGATGCGCAAGCAGTTATACACACACACACCCACACAACTTTACCAAATTGGGTAACACATATGCGGGTGTTCATCTGGCTCGGACCAGTGGCGAAGAGCGAAGACAACTAGTAAAGTGGAAAACTGGCACGCCAGCAGAGCGGCGAAGCCTCAAAGACGAAGACGCGCGGAGGCGTAGCCAACGTGGGGGTAGCGATGGAGAAGACGGTGCATGCTGGGCGCAAGGGCGGCACACACACACAGACACACACGCACGCACGCACGAACGCACGCAGCGCATCCCTCTGCACTAGAACCACGTGCCGTCTCAGCACGCATGCAACCCCTCCCCGCCCCCCGCCGGGCGCGGGCGCCTGACGGTCTGGCACATCGACACGTTGAGCGCGGCGGGGAAGCTCGAGTCCGCGATCTCCGCCAGCTTGCCCTGCGTGGGCCGCCGCTCGGGGTGAGTGCATCGCAGCGGGCAAAATAAGAGCGTAGCAAATGGGGGGTCAGCGAATCAGCTGCATTGACTGAGGGGGAAAGATAGGGAAGGGGGACTGGCCCAGGGGAGAGAACGTTGACGTGGAACTGGCGATACATCACCAATAGATCGGCGACAGGCCATCGATAGCGAAACCACATGTTCCTGGGCGAGATGGGGCACCCAGGCCGTGATTGTCGATGAGTGGGCGATTGGAGGTCGATGCGCTTCCCCCTGGGCCAGTCCCCCCCTGTCGGCGTCCCTGGTGCATAATGCAGCTGGTCTTCGTGGCGTCTCCCGGCGCCGGAGGCGGCCATGCATCGAGTAAGGCGCCCAGTGGCGGGGCCGACAACAGCTTCGCCCAGTCCGAGAAAACACTCCTTCGCCACTTTTGGCACCTGGGAGCCCGCTTCGGGCCCTGGGGCCGTCAACAATCAACTCGTTGTGAACAACCGGCCGCGAGGAGCCGAGGAGAGGTCCAGGGACAGATTTCGATCGGATTTCTTGTCGTCGTGGTCGCTCTCTTCTTCCTCCTCCTCCTCCTCCTCCTCCGCCTCCTCCTCCTGCTCATCCTTCTCATCCTTCTCATATTCCTTTTTCCTCCTCCTGCTCCTCATCCTCCTGCCTTTCCTGCATCTCGGTTCCTCCTCCTTCTCCTCGGGCTCTGTTCGTGGGGCGGCCGTCCTTCGGATTCATCATCGCGGCCTGCCAATTGAGCGTCACCGGCGCCTCGCGAGCGCGCACGGGCGCGCGACACGGCGAGCGGCCGGTGTCGGGGGGGTGGGCGGCTGGAGCTGCCGCGCAGGTAGAGAGAGGCATCTGGCATCCGTCCTGTTTCTTTTGGCCTCCTGCTGCCTCCTCCTCCTCCTCCTCCTCTTCCTCCTCCTCCTAGGAGGAGGAGGAGGAGGAGACGTTCCTGGAGCGGAAGATAGCATATAGAAGAGAAGGAGAAGGAGGGACACAGCAGAAGGAAGAAATCATAAGGATTGAAAGAGGGAGGAGGAAAGTATCAGGAGGATGGAGGAGAAGGAGGAGGAGGGAGGAGGAGTAAACTCAGAATGTACCAACGGGCCGCAGTACACCCTCCAGTGCCACGTTCCCTCCCCACGAGCTCCTATGGGCGTTCCTATTCATTATGGGGAAGTCCCCTTGAAAGACGAGCACCCCATGGGCCTGCCATTCATGAGGGAGCCCCGTTGTGAACAGGAATCGCCCAGCATCCTCCAAGGAGTGCCAAGAGGCAGGATAATCAAACTCAACCTTTTGAAGATGAGCCGCCATTCAGTCGAGGAGCTGTCGCACTTGACAAAGCCCATTGCCATGCATTTCGAAAAATGATCGAGCAAGGGTAATATGCTGAAACTGAAGTGCGCGGCACATTTTGTCACCCCCACTTTCCGTCCGCCAAGCGGTTGGAAACTTTGGGCTCTGGGTCACAGACGGTGGGAAAGTCCCAAGCGAAACGCCAAGCTGTCCCTGCCAACGTGTCTGACGGTGCGACGAGAGGGGGATCATTGACGAGTACGAGCGAGCGAGCAGCCGAGAGGCAGTTGGAACCGAAACGCGGCTAAGCACCGATGGCCAAATGGACAATCTTGTAGGTTTAACCAAGGCGACGGGGGCCCCAGGCCATCACCATGCAGCTGCTCCAGCACCTGGGGGCAGTGGCTGCGGATGACTCCTCGAGGCGTGATTGAGCACGAGTACGCGCCTCGAAGCTGCGAGTAGAAAAGGAGATTGAGGACGACGAGGACGAGGAGAACGGAGGATGGACACAGCGGAGAGCCTCGATGCCAGCGGTGACATCCGATCCCTGGAAAATCATCAGCCTGTGCTCTGGGAACGTCTCCTCCGCTGCGCTCCCGCATGCCGTGCCCGCCCCGAACACCCCGCCCCCCCTCCCCTTCCTCCGCCTCCTGATCCTACTTCTTCACCTTCACCTTCTCCACCACCTCCCTCTACTCCTTTCCCCCTCGTCGTCCTCATGCCCCCCCATCCCCCTCATCGTCGTCCTCCTCCTTCTCCTCCTCCTCCTCCTCCTCCTCCTCCCCCGAAGGCTAAAACGAAAATGGAAGAGAGAGACAGGAGACCCCGAGGATCCCCAACCTCCCGAACGCAAGGTCGACCTTGTTCTGCGGCTCTGAGTGGAGCAGCTTTTAAGGCTTCGAGCTGCGTGCAGACAGCTCCCAAGTGGCCTCTACAGGTCCCAACATCCGCCCAGGGTAGTCCCCCGGGCGCTCCGAGCTCCAGAATTGGGGTGTTCAGCCCGCCCTGGATTAACATAAAGGCCTGTTGAGGCTAGCCGGGACTGCCGGCTTGGTGACTTTCAATAAGGGGGTCCATAGGTGTCCCTTCTTGCACGGGGCCGATGTTGTCACCCGAACAATTTTTTGACCTTCCTCCGAAGCCGATAGTGACAACAAGCCTCCCGCCTTGATTTGTTCAAGGCGTTGGAGGTACGAGTCTGTGCGCAGCCCGAAGCACATCCTCAGGAGGTTGTTCGCCCACCGTCTGCCACGATGACCCCACATCAACAAGGAACATCGAATCGGTTACTGAAAGTTGCCGAATCGGCAGGAATCGGCAGGCATACCAGGAGGCATTGAAGTCAACGTCTGGCGCGCCGCGTCGAGACCAACACGATAAAATCCAAACTGGCAGAGCGGCGCTTTGTCGCCCCGAGCCGAACCAACAGCCGACGCGCTGGTGCGAGCGGCTGGGCTTGGGAACTGACAGAACCGCTGTGGCCTCCCTCCCTCCTCCCCCCCCCGCCCCCTCGTCCCCAAAGGGTCGAAAAAACTTCATGTGGATTTCGACCAGTATGAAAAGGGGGGTCCAGGATAGAGGAACAACAATTTCCAGAATGAATGTAGAACATCAAGCTTGAAAAGTTTCGGTCATCTGGCTCATGCTCCTGTCGTTGCTCGGTTTCCTGGTCTTCTTCCTGGCCTGTACCCTGCTCCTGCTACTGCTACAGGTCATCCTCCTCATCGTCCTCATCCTCACCCCCATCCTAATCCTCATCCCCGTCCTCATTCTCATCCTCATCATCCTCCTCCCCCTCCTGCTATTCCTCATCCTTCCCTCCCTCCTCCTGACGTTGCCCCGCGTCCTGTTCCTGATCATGTTTTCTTTTCCTGGTATGTATGCTGTTGATCCTCCCTCCGCACCATCCCTCATTATGTTCCCCCTCCTCCTCTTCCTCATCCTCCTGCTCCTACTCCTGCTCCTCCTTCTCCTCCTCATCATCTGCCCTCCCTCTCCTCCTCCTCCTCCTCCTCCTCTTCCCCCACCGCGCCTTCCTATTGCCCCTTCTCTCGCCCCTTTTCATGGCGACAGCACCCTGGCAGCCGAAAGCCTGCGGAGTCAAGGGGGATTGCTACTTCGGTGTATTGATCATCACTGCGCCCGCCTTAGCTTGTAAAAAGGATCCGAAACAAATCACATGGTCGTTTTGGTTGGAATGAACGTGTGGCTGAAGGATATATATAGAGAGAGAGAGAGGGAGAGAGAGGGAGGGATAGAGAGAGAGAGAGAGAAATAAAGAAAGAAAGAGAGAAAGAGAGAGATATATTCATTGTTTGCGAACCCACCGCTGTCTCTGAGTAGCGGTGCGCTGGCAAACTCGAGGGTGGACTAGTCTATCAGGGTGGGAGAGACACGCAGAGAGAGAGAGAGAGAGAAAGAGAGAGAGAGAGAGAGAGAGAGAGAGAGAGCGAGAGAGAGAAAGAGAGGGGCGGGATCGGCCGTTTCGGGTCATCTTGTCACACGCTGTCGGTTTTCTCAAGATAATTCGAGCTTTAGGACAGCTACAGAGCTGGTAAGCACAGCTAACCGGTTCACAATAATCAGGCGCGTTCGCCTGAACTCGGTCTGCTGATCTAGGTTTGCAAACCTATTCGTATTATTCGAGTCATCTTCACAAACGCTCTCCCAAACGCGCGGCCGTAGGGCGGTGCCGCACGTCCTTCATCTCGGAGCACAGGTCGACGGTTCGACCCCCATCAGGTCGGCGCGCGCTCTCTAGAGGGGGCAGAGGGAGATAAGGGAGGAAAAAGGCATGGTTACGGGGAATTGGGGGGCGGGGGAAAAGATAGAGAGAGAGAGGGCCCAAAAGGCTCCCCGCGACACTGCTGGGCGGCGCTGCGCCCGCGGGAACATGGGCGGCTACGTCAGGGGGGCAGTGGATGCCCGTTGGCTCTGCTGGGAGAATGGGAAGCAAATGGGAACAACCTAAGCGCGGGAACGCGGGGGAGGGACACGAGATGTGGTGAGCACGCCTGGTCAGTCGCTCAGCACAGGCTACTCGCGCCCTGACCGCGCCAAGATCGCACCTGCTGGTGGGGTGGGAGGAGGGGTAGAGGGTCAGAGGTAAGTAAGTAGGTTCGCGGCGGAGTGGGTTGGAGGGGAAACCGAAAATCCAGCCACGGACCTCATGAGAAATATTGAGGCCATCAGAAGCTTCACACATTGGAATCCCCCTTCGTCCATTCCTGGAAACTCTACCACTCGGGAGACAAGTGGGGGCAGGTGGGCCAGTGAGACGGCCAGCGACGACGGGGATGGCTTCACCTACCATGCCTGTGATCATCGTCTTCGCCAAGGCCTGTTCCTCCCCGGTCGCAAATGTGAAAGGGAGCTGCATGGATTTCGATATCTCTCGAAGAAACCACGCCCCCCGTGCGTGGGCCCAATGGGGCGTCGCATAGGCCTTCTTGACCTCCATGAGGCCCCACTCGTCTACGGGGGAGACTAGCCAAACCAAGAGCACTGAAAAAGAGTCCAGCAAGATAGCCCAACGCGCTGTACTGGAACGAAACCATCTCAAGAGACGACGGCACCATAGAGGTCGAGCGCTTAGAGGTTAAAGTCGGAGCCGCGATATTCTCAGCTTCACTTCCCGGTGAGAACTCAGAACCGAGGTCGGTCCAGAGAGCGCTACCGCTCGCGATATACAACGCCATCGCCACCGCCTCGGCCTGCAGCTTCGGCGCAGCCATCCGAGGGCAATGTGCTGAGATGCACTTGTTCACGTTGCAAGTGATGCCTTTGTCGCCGCTCATCGCCTCCTCGAGGATGTTGGAGACCCCCCTCCAAGTCACCTTCTTCGGCAGCACCTTCTCTGTGCCCAGCAGCGACTACAGCCGCCCGAATTCTGCTCGACGCAAGGCTGTGTCCGGCGAGGGGGCCTCCGCAACGGGCGTCGGTGAGGTGTCTCGAGGCCCTGGTGTCGAAGTGGACGGTTTAGCTTTCAGATCTTTGTCGCCCTCCAAGGGCTTCGCCATCTTGTCTCCGAACGAACTCTTCGTTGCCATGGCCAAGTACCCGCCCTGTTTACGCGAGCGAAGCTCCTCGGCCCCGTCCTTCCTGTCCTTGACGGAAGCCTGGCACTCCGGATCTGCGGTGGCCAAGTTCCCCCTCATCTTGATGATGCCCCTGGGGGGGGGGGGGGAGATTCGGTCTCTTTACAACCAGAACAACCACTTTACAACCAGATGGGTTACTTTACAACCAACATAGGATTGGAAAGTATGGTTTTTCATCGAGAACGTCCACTTTGCAACCAGAACGGCCCGCTTTACAACCAGAACGGACCACTTTACAACCAGAGCGGGCCACTTTACAACCATAACGGACCACTTTACAACCAGCTCAGAGTGGCCGTGCGTGTTTGGGCGTTCCGCGAAGTGCTCCAGAGCAAGTGGGCGCTCTGAAAAATGCCCCAGTGCAAGTGGGCGCTCTGAAAAATGCCCCAGAGCAAGTGGGCGCTCTCAAAAGTGCTCCAGGGCGCGCGGACGCTCTGAAACGTGCTCCAGAGCACGTGGGCGCTCTGGAGCCCGAGTGCCTGAACTCTCTGCGCAGGCCCCAGCGATGCCTCTGAGCCCGAGCGCCTGAACGCCCTGCGCAGGCCCCAGCGATGCCTCTGAGCCCGAGGACCTGCGCGCTCTGCGCAGGCCCCAGCGACGCTTCTGAGCCCGAGGACCTGGACGCTCTGCGCAGGCCCCAGCGATGCCTCTGAGCCCGAGCGCCTGGACGCTCTGAGCAGGCCCCGGCGATGCCTCTGAGCCCGAGCGCCTGGACGCTCTGGCGCTCTGAGCCCAGCAGACTAAGACAGGGCTTGCTAGCAGGGGCAAAGCGGCCTCAACAAGGGCCCCGTGCTCGCAAGGGAATAAGGCGACAGCATACGTAGGAAGGCTCAGGGCGACGCGCTGCCCATTTTAGGGATCACTCACAGGAAGCGAGCCCAGTGGCCTCCACAAGGGCCCAGCGCCCCAGGGAACGAGGCCATTGGCACCGCGGGTCTCTTGGGCCACGTTGGCCCCTGAAGCCCCGCGGTGTTCTGCAAGGGGCTAAGTGCTCCAGCTCCAGTTGGCCCCCTGCTGCTCCCCTTCTTGGAAAATCGAGGTTCAACGTTCCGAATAAATGCAACTATTTCGAACATCGTTTTTTTTCCAGCGTCAGCCACAGTGCCAGCGCAGCAACGCAGGCATCCTGCTCGGGCAGCAGCCTCAGCCACCGTGCCAGCGCAGCAGCTTCAGCCACCGCGGCAGCGCATCACCGCCACTTTTGTGCCTGCTACCACCGCACTTACCGCTGCAGCCCCGCTACCTCCACAATTCCGACTGACCCCCCGCTACCGCCGCAAATCCCATTGCAGCCCAGCTACCACCACAGTTCCCACCGTTGCCTGGCGACCACCACAATTGCCACCGCAGTTTCCCAACACCGTGCAGTTCCCATTGTAGCCGCCGCTACCACCACATCTCCCACTACAGCTTCCCACTGCCATGCAGCTCCAGTCTTGGACGGGATCATGGTTTATTCGTGTGTCCTGCGCGACTAGCCTTC